GCGCACGGTGGCCAGGCGAGCTTGGGCGGACGGTCGGGCGGAGGCGGCAGGGCGGTCGCACGGCAGACGGCGTGCAGGACAGAAACGAAGCAGAACAGTCGGGGCTGGGGGAGGAAGAAGGAAGAGAAGAGAGAAGAGAGAGAGGGAAGAAGAAATAGAAGAAGAAGGAAGAGGAGAGAGAGAGTGGTGTGTCAGAAGGTTGGTCTGCATGGGCGCGGGCTGAGGGGACGTTGCATGGGGGAGACGTGCGAGGCCAGGAGGGGAAAGAGAGAGAGAGAGAGAGAAAAAGGAGGGGCAGACGCAATGAGTAGAGAGAAGGAGAGGACGGACGCGTTGGGGGAAAAAGAAACGTGCACGGCAAAGGAGAGAGAGGAGAGAGAAGAGAGCCAAAAAGTCAACATGCACTCAAGCACGATCCAACGGACACGGCTCAAATTCGAAAAACGATCTAACGGTCCGCAAAAATCCAAATTAATATTATAGGACAAATGGCCAAAATAAAATAACTCAAAACACACTACGAGGGAGGTCTACTAGTCCAAATTCGCACCCGGTCAAAAATCCACTTTCTCACTATTCCTAATAATCTCGACGTTGGCCACAACAATATCAACACCGTCCAATTTATTTCGTCCCGAAACTCCCGAAAATCGATTGCCAAGTTCGGGGTCTAAATAACGGCCAAATTCGATCGAGTGCGATTCTAGCGAAATCTCTATTTTAAAAACGAGAACCCGAGAGTGATTAGTTCCCGGGCAAGATTCCATTATAAGCGCACTGACGGATTACACGTTTTATAAATCCCAAAAATGGGCCGAAATTCGGGATGTCACAATTTGTGTCATTTTCCCTTTTTCTTAATGTACTTGTTTGGAAGGGTATAATGCTGAAGTTCAAGTCTTTTGCAAACTTTGTTCAAAGCCAGACTTTTATATGTAATGCATGAGTATGATGAGTCAAATTCAGATTTTAAGAGAGAATGAAAAATTGAATGTGTAATTCCTGGTGTGGTACAAATACTGGCATGTTATAATCTTAATAATGAACAAAGAATATGTTGTGTGAAGTACTACGTTAGAAAATAAACAAGAAAAGAAATTGATGCCCTAGAATTTGGAGTAGAGTTAAGAATGCTATATCATTTTTTTTTCGATAAAAGAATGCAGTTCACCATTGTCTTGAAAGCAATATCTCCGAGAACCAAAAACTTATGTTTTCAGTGAACTATAAATATGATTAGAAATATAGAAAAATATGCGAGCTTATTATGAAATTGAGTGATCAAAAGTACTATTACTCAAAGCTTATATAAGTATTACTTCTCTTTCCATAAAATATAGGTTTTTTTTTTGGGTTCCGCTTCTTTCTTTCTAGTCAATACTTTTGAGTGTATTGATACATAATCTTTATAAGAAATAAAAAGATGCCTTTCTATATCCACGTTGCATTTATGCGAAAAATTAATATTTAAAAGATATGGCAAAATTCCCTTATTACGAAATATTTAGATTAGTAATGAACCGAAAGATATTATTCATATAATATGAAAAAATTTATACATGCATACGGGGAAAGATAAAACTATTTCAAAATATGTACTTTTTTGTCAGATTATTTATAACTTATAAGATTGAAACGATTCAAACTTTAAAGTTGAAATGCATGATAGATAAAGTAGAATTATTAATTTACGCATTTTTCTATTGATATGAATATTTACAAAATAACTAATTGAAGATATTTTGGGAAAAAAACGATTCTAATTCCTAAAAAGTATTGATATTAACCTTTAGTGAGCTGAAGAGTTTCAGAAATGGACCGTCGATATAAGTTTTTCTCCTAAGCGGACAATGCGCGCCCAAACATACATATATATATATATATGGTAGCAAGATATTCTTTATTTATAATGCTCGCGTTTTATTGGTCATTCCGTAATCTTATCGTGGACTACCAATAGCAAGAATCTCCTTTTTAATCGTGGAGTAATCCAATGGCTGAAGCTGACAATAGCTCTTCTGATGAATCTAGTTTTGAAAAAGGTTTACAAATTTGTGATATAGAAACTTCTTCATTATCAACCTCAGACAGTGAAGATGAAGATGATACTCATTTTGAAATAAATGTTTTGACAAAAGAAGAAGAAATTCTTTTGCAAACAATTGACCAGATCATTGATCCTGAAACAAAAATAAAATATTTGAATAATTTTCAAAAACCAGCCTTTAAACCAATTTTTCAATCTGACAATCTGTGACATCCTGAAATTTGCCCATTTGGGATTTATGAAATGCTTGGTTTTATGAACGTACTTGTAGTTAGTTCTAGCCCGGAACTGATGATTTCTGGGATACTAACCAATAGGAAAAGGCTAATTAGGGATTTAAATTCGTGCGACTAAAGAAAATTCGATCGTGAATTGATTTTCAACCATAGAATCGTCGAGGTGACATTTTGAACCAATGTAGGACGATCTTAGGGTAGTTATGGGCCGATTCGTCACTGTCATACGAGTGGATCACGGGTGATTCCGTTTGACCACGAAATGAATTGACGAATGATCCAGAACCTATACCGAACGATTGTGCCCGACGGAACTAGCGATCGAACCTCGCGATTACATGATAATCGAAGTCATCACGAACCGAATGAACTTGCACATGACTCGATTTATTATCAGTCACGGGTCGAATATGCGAATTTCCCCAAAAGCCGCCTATTAGTTGAGAAACGCTCGAGTTACGTTATATAAAATTTAATTATTAATTAGAGCCCAAATTGGGCATCGGAAAATTAGGAAGTTACGACGGGACGTTAGGACGACGTTGTGGTTGGAACGTACAGCTTTGGATTTTCCCGAATCCTTCAGAAAAATTCAAATTCGGCAAGAAAATGGAAAAGTGACCATTTTGCCCTTGGAGGTTTATAAAAGGCAAGTGTTAAAGGGGAAGGGCATTTTGGTCATTTTGCCCTAATTTTTGAGTTGGACAATTTTGCCCTAATTTTTCAGTTGGACAATTTTGCCCTTGGAATTTTATGAAATTCCCAAATTGCCCTTGGATATTTTTGGAAAAGATTCAATCTCGGCCGTCGATCTCGAGATAAGATCAAATCTCGACCGTCGATTTGATTTGAGAGAGAAGGGCAAGATGGTAATTTGGCAATACCAATAATTGACTTTGGGATATTTAATCCCAAATCCCTCTCTCTCTCCTCACTCTTTCTCTCTCTCTCGGCTCCCACTCCTTCTCTCCCCCTCATCGCCGACCGCCCCTCCCTCTCGGCCACCGTCCGCCCAATCGTCGCCGTTCCACCGTCGAACCGTACTACCACCACCCTCACGCCGTCCCTTCCTTTCTCTCTCTCCCTCGTATGGCTGTGATTCACAGCCAAGGAGGCCGTCGCCTCCGCACGCCATCCAACCCACCCGCCGCCGTCGCCGAGCCGCCGCTCACCGTTGACCGCTGCTCGTTTTCCGCTCTAGCCGAGTTAGTCTAGAGTTCGGTAAGTCACGCTCTAAACTCTATTTAGGACTTCGGGTATCGACGGATGAATTAGGTGGAATCGGATTTAATTAGACTCGGTTTTGGCAAAATTTGGGGCTGTTTATGGATTAATTGTGCGGACTGATTTAGGGGCTGGTATTGACTGATTTTTTAGGATGAAATTGTGGTGATCCGGGGCTGATTTGATGGGAAGTTGAATGCTGGAAATTGGGGCTTGAAATGAGGAGTATTCGGTCCAATTTAAGGACTAAATGGTATCGGGTTGAGGTGCCGTGTTGTGACTGGGTTGTGGCGTTTAATATGGCTTGAAATGAGCATGGAAATGTCGAAATTGTTTACGTGTATGTGGCTGTGATTGTGGGCCGTGGGTGGCCATGAATGTTTGTTGAGTGGTGAATTGAACAATTAAATTTTGTATTGTTATGTGCACGTGTGAGCTAAGTTGAATTAATTGTCAACTAGCCGTGATTGGGTGTTTATTGAGTATGTGGAATGTGCGTGGTTTGATGCGTGCTCGGGCCAAGTGTGATCGGCCCAAATTGTTGACATGTGGGTGTTGAGCAAGTGATTGAGTGAGGAATTGTGTGGTAATGTTGTATGTGTGGTGACAAAAATCCCTGAGGCGATACCACTACGCAGGGAATTGATCCATCTTGAGGCGGTACGACTACGCGGGACGATGCCTGGTATTACCGGAGGACGACCAACCTGAGGCGGTACCATTACGCGGGTTGTGTCGTAGGTGGTGGGTGTTGAGCCTGAGGCGGTACCACTACGCGGGTAAGATACACGGCCTGAGGTGGTACCATTACGCGGGCCATGAAGTGTTGTTTTGAGTTAATCACAGTGAACCTGAGGCGATACTACTACGCGGGTCACTGGCGAGTCGAGTGTGAGATGGTTGCAGTGAACCTGAGGCGGTACCATTACGCGGGTCACTGGCGAGTTGTGTGGAAGGAATGTGATGAGACCGGAACGAATGCATGAAATGTAATTAGAACGTGCATGTGATTGGAAATGGTGTTGTTATGACTAACGTACAGGTTGCACGTTGGAAAGGCCTAGGTAAGCATAATTGTGTGCTTGCTATGTGCTGGCTGTGTGTGGTTGTGATTGTCTGGAGGTACGTGATAGCCTCGGTGGGGTTTAGGGGTGTACTTATTGAGATGTAATCTCATGGTTGTTTCAACCAAAAATTTCAGAACCCCGGCCTGAGCAATGAATGTCCCGCCGCCGCCGCCCGAGCATTTTGGAGTACCGATGTACATCGACCACGACGTTATAGAGTATCTTATAGATGACCACATGACCTGGATCAAGCATACCACGGTAGTCTGGGTAGATGTAGGATTACCCCTATGGCAAGCCCATACATATACCGCTTGGTTCTTTCGAGACGGGGTAGATGAGTTTGGCCCTGTCCGCAGATTTGATGTCCCTTTTGACAGAGTTGGAGATTGGGACCCGGCAGCCATACCTCGTCCCGACGGCAAGATGACTAGCTTAGAGACCAGTCTGGCGCAGTCTAGTCTTCACCCTGCGCCCGCAGCACCTGAGCCTTCGGGGGTCGAGCATGAACCAAAGCCTAAAGAATCGCAAGCAGGGTACGATCCGATGGACGTGGACCTCGAGGCGATTCCAGAGGAAGAACCAGAAGAGGAAGAACCCGAGGCAGAACCCGAAGAGGCCCCAGAAGATGAGCCCGAGGATGAGCTTGAAGAAGAACCGGTGCATATACCCACGTATGAGCAATGGCTCGACCCTGAGTTTGTGCCAGAGGATGAGTCCGATGAGGAGCCAGTCAAGGAGGAGCGGGTTGAAGTTCCAGCGGAGTCGGGTGACATAAACAACCCGATCGAGATCGAGGCCGAGCCGGAGTCCTTAGAGGAGCAAACAGTTCAAGGAAATTCAGATTCATATGATGAGGAGTCAGACTCGGAGTGCACACCAAGCAGAGGGCGTAGGGGCTAGGTTTAGGGGATGGGAATAGGCTTTTGAGGTGTTCCATTTTTGGTGTTCCATTAGGGGCGGAGTGCACATCAATCCTTTTTTATGTCGGTGGTTAATAGTGTAGAAGTTTGGTGTGCTTATGTATATGGTGGTTTGTAAATTGTGAATATTATATAAGTTTGGATGAGCAATGAATATGTTTATTCTCTCTGATTACCCCAGTTTTATTTGTTCGGGTATTTGTGGTTTCCGCTGGTCGATATAAATCTCTGATGAATTGAAATTTGGTCGGCGATACCCTGGGATATCGCATTATTCGACCAGAGAAGTGTGTCGCGTGCTCGATGGCTTCGGGGCATGACACAATCCCTATAATATTTCTACTATTCTTGGCAAAGCTAAGAAAACAAGTTTCAAACCCATTTCTATAACTGACCTTACTCACGAGATCAATAAACAAAAGCAAGAAATTCAAGATCTCAAAGCCGCTCAGTTAATAATGCAAAAGGACATTTTGGATATTAAAATAAAAAATTTAAAAGGAAAACAAAAGGAAGAAGATTTTGAAGAAAATAATGTTCCTCAACTCCTTTCTTCCTCTGACACAAACTTCCTTTTAATGCTTTCTGAAATTACCACCAGAAAATAGATTATCAACATTTCTATAAGAATCCAAAATGAAATTGTTTTAGAAACAACAGCCCTTTTTGATACTGGTGCAGACCTTAACTATATAAAGGAAGGTTTTATACCAACCAAATATTTTGAAAAAACTTCCCAGTCTCTCAAATCAGCATCCGGAGACAAACTGATTATTAACTACAAAATTCCTGAATGAGATTGTGAAAGACCAAATCTCTTTTAAAACTCCTTTTCTTCTCATTAAGAATATCAAACAAAATGTTATTTTAGGATCACCTTTTATCAATTTGCTCCAGCCTTTTAAAGTTTCTAAAAAAGGGATTGAAACAGAAACCTTGGGCAAAAGAATATGTTTTGATTTCATTTCAAAACCCCAAACCAGAAATTTGAATACTCTTCAAAAACATTCCATTTCTGAGATTAATTGCATAATCCAAGACAAAGAAACTCATCTTCAGTTTCTTAAAGAAGATCTTGAATACAAAAGGATTGACAAGAATCTTTCGGAAGCAAGCCTTCAGAAAAAGATTTCTGATCTTGAAAATCAAATCAAAGATTCCATATGTTCTAATATTCCTAACGCTTTCTGGTCTCGTAAGTGTCACATAGTTGATCTGCCTTATGAACTAGGTTTTTCAGAAAAAGACATTCCTACCAAAGCTAGACCTTCTCAAATGAATCACGAAGTTCTAAATTTCTGTCAAAAAGAGATACAAGAACTTCTTGAGAAAAAGCTTATTAGGAAAAGCCAATCACCTTGGAGTTGCTCTGCTTTCTATGTCAACAAAAATGCTGAACTAGAAAGAGGAGTTCCAAGATTGGTAATAAATTATAAACCTTTGAATACAACTTTAAAATGGATAAGATATCATCCAATTCCTAATATAAAATATTTGTTAAACAGACTTTATGATGCAAAGATCTTTTCAAAATTTGTTATGAAATCGGGTTTCTGGCAAATTCAAATTAGCGAAAAGGATAGGTACAAAACAGCTTTTACCGTTCCTTGTGGTCAATATGAATGGAATGTCATGCCTTTTGGACTGAAAAATGCTCCTTTTGAATTCCAAAGGATTATGAATGATATTTTTAATCAATGGTCTGATTACATTATAGTTTATATAGATGATGTTTTAATATTTTCTACATCCATAGAAAAACATTTTAAACACATCAATCATTTTATCAATATTGTGAAGAAAAATGGTTTAGTAGTTTCACCTACTAAAATATCTCTTTTCAAAACAAAAATTCGTTTTTTAGGACATTACATCCATCAAGGAAAAGTTCATAAGCATGTTGAATCTTTGGGTGGATAATTTCATCAGTTGGTCCCAAATGTTCCCACCATCTAACGAACCAATATGGAACGAGGTTGATATCAAAGTTTTCAAAAAAGAATAGCCAAGTATGAGAATTATTGGCATTCTTTCTCCAGAAAGTGTTCCACCAAGCTTGTTGGTAGTCAAAATATGAGAAGGATGATCTGTATGGAGGGGCATCGGTCGTATTGAATTTTTTCAAGGTCAATGGATCAGGTTTCCATTGAGAAGGGTGGATGACCCTGTGAATTCTGGCCGTGGAGTAATTCACATGACCTTTATCAGAAAAATGTCTGAAGGTTACAGACTTTGTTTCTTCTAAATTTTTTCATAAAATTCTGTTGTTTTGTAAATATCATGAGGGGTATAAAAGAATTTTTCAGAAAACATATTTGTGACATTCCGAAATTTCGCTCATTTGGGATTTATGAAATGAATTATTTTATTAATGTACTTGTAGCTAGTTCTCGCCCGGAACTGATCATTCCTGGGATACTAACTTATAGGGAAAGGCTAGTGAGGGATTTAAATTCGTACGACTAGAGGAATTCGACCGCGACCTGAATTTCGACCATAAAATCGTCGAAGTGACATTTTGAGCCAGTGTAGGCCGTTCCTAGCAAAGGATGGGCTGATTCGTCATTATCATGTACGTGGATCACGGGTGATTCCGTTTGATCTCGAAATGAATTGACGAAAGATCCCGAACTTATTCCGAACAATCATACTCATCGGAACTAGTCATCGATCCTCGCGATTTTATTGGTAACCGAAGTCGTTAAGGTCTGAATAAATTGCACGTGACTCGATTTAGTATCAGTCACTGGTCGTACAGGCGAATTTCCCAAAAGCCACCCGTTAGTCTGAGAAACGCTCGAGTTACGTTATATATATAATTTGAATACTGATTAGAGACCAAACCGAGCATCAGAAAATTTGAAAAGTCACTGCAGGGCCTTTGGACGACATTGTAATTGGAACGTACAACTCTGGATTTCTTCGGATTTTTCAGAAAAGTTTGATTTCGGCGAGAAACGGAGAAAGTGACCATTTTACCCTTGGGAATTAATAAAGGGTTAGTTTTATGGGCAAAGGGCATTTTGGTCATTTTACCCTCAAATTTGGAAATGACAATTTTGCCCTTGGACTTTTTGAGAAATTACAAGACTACCCTTAGATATTTTTGGGTGAGATTCGATCTAGGCCGTCGATTCCAAGATTAGATCGAATCTGGACCGTTGGATCAAAATGTGAGAGAGGGGTATTTCGGTCATTTGGCAAAAATGGTCAAAACTTGGAAGTTAAGTTAGACCATTCTCTCTCCTCTCTCTCTCTTCCCCATTCGGTCACCCCCCCACCGTGAGCCTCCCCTCCATCTCTCTCCCTCCCGCCGTCGCCGCCGCACCGCCCACCGCCGCGCCGCCGCCGATCCGCCGCCCTACCCTCACGCCACCTCACCGCCGTTCTCTCTCTCTCCCTCTCGGTTTCTTTTCCCTTGGCCGTGAGCCAAGCCACCCCACCGTGAGCCGATCGCCGCAGCCGGGAGCCGTACACCGTCGCCACCGTAAGCCGCCGCAAGATCGCCGTCGATCGCCACCGCTTTTCACTCTAGCCGCGTGAGTCTAGGGTCAGGTAAGTCGCGCCCTAAACCCGACTTAGGATATTGGGTATCGACGGGTAATTTTGGTTGAAATCGGGTTTATTCGGGTACGGGATTGTACGGATTAGGAGTAAAATCAATTGGTGGGCCTAGGATTGAATTTGGGAAAATTTTAATGGAGACTTTGAGGACAACAGTTGGCTGTGAGTGACTGTTCAGTGGGCTGTGACGGGTCGATCGGGACGCAAATTGGATTTTTAGAACCGGCAATTAACAGTGAGAAAGTGTCGCGAAGGACCGGAATTGATTTGACGCCATTTGGTTGGAGAAAAATGGCAAATTGTGTGTTTAATATGTGTTGGAACTACGACTGGGTTGAGATGATGAAATTGAGTGCATGGTTGTGTAATTACATGATTGAAAAATGCCTGTTGGGTGCACGCTTGAGCCAAACTGATTTATTTATTAAAAATTGGCCATGTCAAATGCTTAGTGAGCATGTTTTGCGTGTGAATTGAGGCGTGCGCGAGCCACGTGTGATTGGCCAAATAAGTGTGGTAAATGTTTGTTGAGCATGTACATGAGTAAGAAAGAATTGTGGTATGACATGTATTCGTGGAAATTGTGCTGTCCTGAGGCGTGTACTTAAACGCGGGTTGCGCAGTAGATGGTAGGTGTTGAGCCTGAGGCGTGTACTCCAACGGGGGCAAGAAACATGGCCTGAGGCGTGTACGTTAACGCGGGCCCTGAAGTGTTGTGATAAGTGGATCGCAGTGAACCTAAGGCGTGTACTGTAACGGGGGTCACTGGCGCGGAATGTGGAAAAGAGATAATGAGAACGGAATGAGTGCATAACATGAGATTTGTACATGCATGTGATCGTATGTGAAGTGCCTGCTATGTAATGATTTAGTGTATGTGTGATTGTGCTTTGTGATTGTCTGGAGGTACGTGATAGCCTAGGTGGGGTTTAGGGGTGTACTTACTGAGATGTAGTCTCATGATTGTTTCAACCAATAATTTTCAGAACCCCGACCCGAGCCATGAATCCTCCGCCATCGCCACTAGAGCGTTTTGGGGTACCAGTGCACACCGAGTATGAGGTTGCAGAATTTCCTATGGGTGATTGCATGACCTGGATTAAGCATACTACGACTATTTTTGTAGAGGTAGGACTACCCTTATGGGAGACCCATGTCTATACTGCCTGGTTCTTCCGGGATGTAGCAGGGGATGAGTTCGGGCCCGTTAGGAGTTTCGATGTTCCGTTTGACTTAGTTGGGGATTGGGACCCGTCTGCTCTACCCCCGATAGATGGAGAGT